GCACCTCCAGGACCAGCAGCTCCCGCAACTCCAGCACCAGTAACACTAGCACCTCCAGTGCCAGCAACTCCAGTACCCCCAGCACCTCCAGCACTAACAGCACCACCAGCTCTGGCAGCTCCAGCACCTCCAGTACGAGCACCTCCAGGACCAGCAGCTCCAGCACCTCCAGTACCTCCAGCTCCAGTGCCTCCAGCACCAGCAGCACCTCCAGCACCAGCTGTACGTCCAGGACTAGTAGGTCCAGCGCCTCCAGCACCAGTAGCACTTCTAGGACTAGTAGCTCCGGCACCTCCAGCACCAGCAGCACCTCTAGTACCTCTAGCACCAGCAGCACCTCCAGCACCTCTAGCAGTACCTCCAGTACCTCCAGCACCAGCAGTACCTCCAGGACTAGCAGCTCTAGCACCAGCAGGACCGTACCCTCCACCACCAGGACTTCCTCGCCGAAAGATCCATGCACGAATCGCTTGCGGTGAGAGCGTCTCAAGTAGATCAGGCTGCGGTGGCTGTCCAGCTCCAAGACCTCCAGCAGGGTCACCCACAGCTCCACCGCCACTAGGACTCGCAGCACCCCCAGAGTCAGCACCCCCAGTCGCAGCAACCCCAGAACCCTCACCCTCTGTCTGAGCACCCCCAGGCTCAGCACCAGCAGTCTGAGCTCCAGAGTCCACAGCAGCAGGCTGCGGAGGCGGTGAAGACGGCCGAGGCAGAAAACCAGAGGGGGTCTCCAAGCGTGGAGAGCGGCGAGTGGCCGCCGTGTCGTCAGCGGCGGGGTCACCCCCCTCACCTGGGCCAGAGGAGTCAGAAGAGATCTCCAAAGGCTCAACCAAGGCGGGTGGGTCTACCTGAGATACACCTCAGGGAGTAGGACCCTGTGGGGGGAGGGGGTCTACCGGGGGGGGTACTGGTACCAAGAAAAGAGGCGCTAGGGGGACCGGGTGGGACGCGTGCGGGTGTAGCCTGTAGAAACAGACAGACTTGTCAAAGGTGACGTCCTGGGAGGAGAAGACTCGACGCAAGCGCGGGTGGTAGAACTGCCACGGCGGGGCGTCGGTGGGGAAGGCAAGGAAGACGCAGCGGAGAGTGCGAGAGGAGAGCTTGCTCGCTTTGGCATCGCGAACAAGGGAGAGCGCGCCCCACACCCAAAACACGGACGCATCGCCAAACTTCCCTGTCCACCAGAGTGTGGGCGAGGTCTCTGGCTTAGAGACACGGGGCCAGAGGTTGAGCTGATGCGCAGCGTATCGGACCGCAAACGGCCACAGAAAATGGGGACCAGCCGCATGGATCATGGAGGTACGAGCAACCTCCATGATCAAGCCAATGCGACGCTCATCAATCCCATTTTTCTGAGGAGATGTCGGAAGCGTGCACGACTGGCAGATGCCCTCGTCTCAACAGAAATCAGCAAGGAGGTCAGAAGAGAACTCACCGCCCCTGTCAGAGTGGAGACACAGGACTGGGAAGTCCCGATGAAACCTCTCGCGCAGCTGGCGACGAGTAGCACGGATCCAAGGGATCAAAACACCGCTAACGTCCGCCTTGCACCGCAAGGGGAAGACCGTGGTGTAACGTGTGTAGTCGTCAACAACCAGCAGGAACTAACGCTCCTGGTCCATCCCACCGACGGGGGCTGGGCCCCAAACGTCCATGTGGAGATTTTGCAGAGGAGCAGTGGTCGGAGGAAACTCGGAGGAGTGAGGAGCGGCGTGCTGCCGCCCCTCGACGCAGGGAAGGCACGGCGGGGCAGGCGAGCACGGGAGGGAGGGCAGGGACCTGGGAAGGCCAGAGACAAGGAGACGGGAGTGCATGCTGCGGAGACGCGACAGCGAGGGGTGACCTAGGCGGTGATGCCAGAGGCGAGTCTGGTGAGAGAGTACCGGACACGAGCAAGACGCTGCAAGCTGACCAGATGCAGACACCCAACTCGACGCAACCACCTGACCTGACTCAGCCACATGTGCAGACGCAGTGGTCAGTGTGTACAGACCGGACCCAAGCTGACGAGTGAACGTAGCAAGGTGACGGCCAGTTCGTGAGCACTTACAGATCGCCACACGCTGTCCTCCAGGAATGAAGGTGTGAACTAGGAAGCAGGTGGGTACAAGTAGGAAACCTAAAATTGTTGTACCCTATAAGAACTACCCCACTACAGCCTAAACAGACTATAGCATATATAAGCTTGACACACCCCCATAGGCAAAGTGGGGGAGAACAAGAGGTCACAAGACCAGTCAAGAAGGCAAAGCAAGCTCAGGGTGGATCACAAAGTCACCACGCAGTCTGAGGACAAGCAAAGGGCCACAAGGCCAATTCACATGCAGAGTTATATAAAGGAAAGCAAACAAAACAGTGAACACAACCTAGCAAGTGTAAGCATGCAGGTATATGTATATAGAGTACAGTACAAGCAGAGTCAAGAAGTCAACAAGTGAGGCACAGTAGGTACAAGGCCTAACACAGTACAGAAACGCTGATGATCACAAGGCTGAAGTGCCTTGGTGAAAACATCAGCAGTGTTGGCCTGTGAGGCCACGTAAGCAAGACGAAGCTGGCCACGCTGCTGCAACTCTCGAGCAAGGAAGTAGCGCAGAGCAATGTTCTTCGTTCTGTGCTCCAGTCTGTGCTCCTGACACAAGGCCAGCATGGCCTTGTTGTCGACGTACAGAACTGGAGGAGAACGAGGCGCCTCTCCCAAGTCGGTCAGCAGGTAGGTGAGCCAGCGTAGCTCCTGTGCAGCCATGGCCCCAGCGTAGATCTCAGCCTCACAACTGGAGCTGAGAACAGAAGAAGAGCGGGTAGACCGCCAAGAGACAGAACCGGAGCCAAGACTGAAGGTGTAACCCTGTGACGACCGCTGCGTAGCCAAGTCGTCAACCCAGGAGGCGTCAGCGTGACCAGTGAGGACAACTCGAGCCCGTCCTCCAAGCACGAGCCCCATGCCCGATGTACTGCACAAGTATCGCAACACCCTCTTCGCAGCATCCCAGTGCACCTTTCGGTGCCTACCGGGAGCCACGTAGCGAGCCAGAAGGCTGAGTGGGTATGCGAGGTCAGGTCGTGTGCAAGTCATCAGGTACATGAGGCAGCCCACAAGCTCTGGATATGGGCCACTCGGCTCTACGGACTCGTCCGAAGGTGGAGTTGAGAGCGAGTGACTAGTAGGCAGAGGAGTGGACTGTGGCGAGGAGTACGTGAAGCCGAAGCGCTGAAGGACCTGCTGCACCATGTGTGACTGAGTCAAGGTAATGGTGCGTTGTGCTCTGTCCCGGGTGATCCGTAAGCCAACATAGCTTGTCAGCTCCCCCAGGTCGGTGCACGTGTGTCTCTTCTGCAGCTCGGACTTCACGTGGGCGAGTGCCTCAGTGTCAGGAGTAGCAAAGACAAGGTCGTCTACGTACACGAGAACGTAGAACAGCGGCAGAGTGGTGTCAGTGCGTAGAAACAGAGAAGGGTCAGAAGTGGAAGGAGCAAAACCAAGAGTAGCAAGAGTGGTCCTCAGAGTGTCGTACCACTCACGGGGTGCCTGGCGGAGACCGTAGACTGGTCGGCGGAGGCTCCACTGGGTACCAGCAGGAAACGACCCAGTGAAGCCAGGTGGGCGGCGCAGCCAGATCTCCTCGTGCAGGCTGCCCTGTAGGAAGGTTGTGCTGAAGACAAGCGAGTGGAGCTCGTAGTCACGCTGAGCAGCTACGTGCAGCTACGTGTAGGGGAGAAGGTCAGGAAGAAGTCAACTCCCTGTCGCTGACTGAAGCCACGTGCAACGTAACGCGCCTTAAAGACAGGCGGAGAACCCGGCGGCCGCTTTACCCTGAAGATCCACATGCCACTGACGATGTTCGCCCCAGGTGGGGGAACCTCGTCGACGTAGGTGCCTGTGGACTTCAAGGAAGCCATCTCGGCGTCCATGGCTGCCTGCCACTGAGAGGAGTAGGGACCCTCTATCGCCTCTGCGTAAGAGCGCGGGGTCGGGATGTCTGGTGCATCCGGGTCTCCCTCAGGGGCAAGCAGCATGGACACGAGATGAGGTACACCAGTGGCAAAGCACTCAAACTCAACCTGTCTGTCCTCAAGAACGTCCGTGCCAAGAGCACACTCACCCCCGACGGACGGAGGACAGACAGACGCAGACGCAGACTTAGCAAAAAGACTAGTGGCGTGGTCTAGGCGACAGGCTGCAGCAAAGTCAACAAGCTCAGCAACGAGAGCAGACGCAGCAGTGGACTCAAACAGAGGGTCAGTGACAGCAGTGGCCACGAAGGGAGTCAGACTCAGGGTCCGGACCGTTAGGAAGAGAGGACGCAGGAGGAAAGGGCAGAGGGACACGCTGTGGAGCAGTGGAAGGACGCAGTGTCATAGAGTGAATGCCAGGGACAGGAGGAGGACGCGGACGCAAAACACGACCAGCGCGAGCAGTGCGGACAGGCGACGCAGCACGAGACACAGGCGACACATGACGCGACTCAGGCTCACGACGCTCCGTAAGACCTCTAGTCGGTCCAGAGTAAGGAGAAGGACTAGGCAGTGGAGAGGACGGCGGTAACGGCGACTGTGACTGGACAGGCGGTGGACTCAGTAACTGAGGAGTAGGACCAAGAGAAGGCGGTAGACCAAGAACCTGCTGAAGGAGCGGAACGTAGTACGGCCGCGGCCGCGCAGCGCCTCCAGAAACAGCAAAGACAGCACCAGTACCTCCTCCAGCAGCTCCAGCAGCACCAGCACCAGCAGCACCTCCAGGAGCTCCAGCACCAGCAGCACCTCCAGCAGCTCCAGCACCAGCAGCACCTCCAGCAGCACCAGCACCAGCAGCACCGCCAGTAGCTCCAGCACCAGCAGCACCTCCAGTAGCCCCAGCACCAGCAGCACCTCCAGCAGCACCAGCGGCTCCAGCACCAGTAGCACTAGTAGCACGGCGACAGCGTCGAGCGTACCACTCACGAAGCCGCTGCGGAGAGAGGGGCTCCCGCCGCAACGGGACACCCGGAGAACCTCCAGACTCAGCACACGCAGGCTCAGCACCCCAAGACGCAGCACCCCCAGAGTCAGCACCCCCAGGCTCAGCACCCCCAGTCCCCGCACCTGCAGGCTCAGCACCCCTAGCAGCACCTGAGTCGACAGCTACCTCGACCGGCTCGACAGGGTCTACCTGAGACACACCTGAGGGGGCAGGACCCTGAGGGGGGAGGGGGTCTACCGGAGGAGTACCTGGTACTAGGAAGAGTGGCGGGGGGGGGAGAGAGGCAGCGCTGTAGGGAAAGAGACGGTAGTAAGACACCGACTCGTCAAACGTGACGTCCTGAGAGGACAGAACACGACGCGAGGTGGGGTGGTAGAACTGCCACACAGGTGCGTCAGGGGGGAAGCCAAGGAAGACACAGGGAACGGCACGGGAGGACAGCTTGTCCGCTGAAGTATCGCGGACAAAAGCTCGAGATCCCCAGACACGGAACGCAGACGCATCGCCAACCTTCCCTGTCCACCTCAGAGTAGGTGTGGTCTCCGGCAAGGAGACACGAGGCTGAAGGTTGATCTGATGCGCCGCGTACTGAACCGCGAACGGCCACAGAAAATGGGGAGCAGCCGCATGGATCATGGACGTACGAGCGACGTCCATGATCATGCCAATGCGGCGCTCAGCAAGCCCATTTTGCTGTGGGGAGGCCGGAAGCGTGAACGTCTGGCGGATGCCCTCCGCACGACAGAAGGCCCTCAGGAGGTCAGAGGAAAACTCACCACCTCTGTCTGAGTGCAGACGCAGAACAGGGAGGTCCGAGCCGAAACTCCCACTGAGCTGACGACGAGCACCGCGGATCCAGTCGATCAACACCTCAGAGACCTCACCCTTGCTGCGCAAGGGGAAGACTGTGGTGTAACGCGAGTAGTCGTCAACGACCAGCAGGAAGTAACGCTCGTGACCTTGGCCACGGACGCGGGCTGGGCCCCACACGTCCATGTGAAGAGTCTGCAGAGGAGCCTCAGTCGGAGGGAACGTGGAGGAGTGAGGAGCAGCGTGCTGCCGGCCCTCGACACAAGGAACACAGGTAGGGGCAGGCCCCGGAGGAAGGGGAGGGAGAGACCGGGGTAGACCCGAGACAAGGGCACGGGAGGCCATACCTCGAAGACGAGGGAGGGAGGGGTGACCAAGGCGGTGGTGCCAAAGGAGAGTCTCGTGTGACAGAGGACGACACGAGCAAGGGGCAGACTCAAGACTAGACCTGGACGCGGCAGCAAACACCTGACTAGACGCAGCTACCTGACCAGACGCAGAGACCGGAGGAGGCGCGGTAGTCAGTGTGTACAGACTCGACCCTGGCCGACTGGTGAACGTGGCCAGGTGGCGGCCCGTCCGAGAGCAAGTGCAGTGGGTCACACGCTGACCTCCAGGGGCGAACTGGTCAACCCACGCGTCCTGGAGGTCAGCTCCACTCACCAAGTTCGTAGAGAACGAGGGGAGGTGGAGTCCCGACAGCAAGCCCGACGGGGCCGCAGGACACGGTAGAACCGTGGAAGAGTGTGCAAGGACTGGGCCCCCAGAGGGGTCAGCAAGGGAGACTGCGACATGCCGACTGAGCGGCGTGAGTGTGGTGCTGTCTCTAAAGAAAGAGCGCGAAGCACCAGAGTCAAGTGTGAAAGTGTGCAAGGCCTCAGTAGGTGCAGTACAAGAGAGAGCAGACGCACCAGCACCTGGAGCAGCAGACGCACTAGCACCTAGAGCAGCAGCCTCAATGCCCGGGTCGGGCGGGACACTCAGGTAACAGTCACCCTCAGTACTATCAGCAAAAGCATACATGGCAGCAAGAATAGCATCGAAATCAAGATCAAAGATAGGCACATTCGGCAAAAGCAGATCATGCCAGCGAGGGAGCTCAACAGCGTCAGGAAACTGGGCACGCCAGGCGTCAGTCAAGCAACCGAAGCAGCGCTGCGTAGTGTGTGGCAGCCCACACGTCTCCCCACGACGACTGCCGGTGCGAAGAACGTAAGCGCAGGGACCAGCACCTCCAGACCTCCCACGCCCAGCGTACCACTCACGAAGCTGCGGGGCCGACGGGGTCTCACGGGAGCGCGGCTGCTGCTAGCGCTGGCTACCACCAAAGCCTCCACATTGCGCGGCTGCACCTCGACCAGCACCACCGCCGCTGCCGCCTCCACCACCGCTGCCCCTGCCTCCACCACCTCCGCCGCTGCCTCCACCACCTCCACCGCCGCCACTGAAGCCCCCACTCCCGGTACCACCCCCACCACCACCGCCACCCCCTCCGCCTCCTCGAGCTCCTCCACCGCCTCCCCCGCCGCCCCCTCCACCACCCTTGCTCCCCTTGCCCTTGCTGTTGCGGCGTCTCCCACTAGGGGCAGACGCAGCTCCGACCTCCTCAATGCCAACGAGGTCAACAGCAGCAGCAGAAGCAACAGAGGGGAGAAGGGGAACAGGGGAACACCCCTCAAAGAAAGGGGTGCGACGGTCGCCGCGAGAAGCACCTACAGCTAAGATACTCTTCTCAGCTGCAGTAAGGCGCTCCTCTAGCAAGTCGACAGTCAGCTCGATGGGGCAAAGGGAGAGAAAGTGGTCCCTGACTGAAGAAAGGGAGTCAGGGGGGCGGGTGACTAGGTAGTAAAGGGTGATGTACATGGTGGGGGGGGTTCTTGGCACAGAACTCAGTGGGAAGGGCAGCGCGGTAGCGGGCGTCACTAGTGCGAAGGTGAGCAACTAGGTCAGCGACTGTGGCAAAGGCGGCAAGGTCAGGGAAAATGTACGGCAGCATGAGGCGGCTGAGGGCAGCAGTGGCAGGGGAGGAGTAGCGTGCAACTACAGCGTTGTACAAAGACTGAGCAGTCTTGTACTGGCCAAAATGCGCACGCTCAGCAGGCGGCAGGTGACTACGAACAGCAAGACGAGCAACAGCGTCACGAGTGGTCCACTGCGAGCGAACAGTAATGTCAGCAGTGGCAGCAGGAGCAGTGGAAACACCGGACGTGTGATCGAAAAGGGATACCCCATCCCTAGAATCACACTGAAGAAAGAGCTGTAGGTCGTCAACCCACACGTCAAAGTCAACTGCACGTCCCTCAGCATCAAAGGTGAGAACAGTAGGACTAGCCATAGCAGCAGTAGGAGCAGTAGCAAGAGTAGCAGCAGTAGCAGCAATAGCAGCAGAGGCAGGAGGCCAGTGCAGGGCAGTGCGGCTCGGTAGGGCAGTGCGGCTTGGTAGAGCGGCGCGGCTCAGTGGGCAGCGCGGCTCGGTTGGGCGGCGCGGCTCGGCTGGGCGGCGCGGCTCGGCTGGGCGGCGCGGCTCGGCTGGGCGGCGCGGCTCAGCTGGGCGGCGCGGCTCGGCTTACCAGAGACGGGTGCAGGGGCGGGCCGTGACAGCAGGGGCCGCGCCAGAAGAGGCCGCGCCAGCAGGGGCCGGCAGGGGCGCGTCAGCAGGGGCCGGCAGGGGCGCGTCAGCAGGGGCCGGGCCAGTAGGGGTCACGCCAGCAGGGGCCGGCAGGGGCGCGCCAGCAGGGGCGCGTCAGCAGGGGCCGGCAGGGGCGCGTCAGCAGGGGCCGGTAGGGGCGCGCCAGCAGGGGCGCGTCAGCAGGGGCCGGCAGGGGCGCGTCAGCAGGGGCCGGCAGGGTCGCACCAGCAGGGGCCGGCAGGGCGGCTAAGGGGCCGTGACGGGCGGCGAAGGGGCCGACGGGCGGCTAAGGGGCCGCGACGGGCGGCTAAGGGGCCGACGGGCGGCTAAGGGGCCGACGGGCGGCGAAGGGGCCGTGACGGGCGGCTAAGGGGCCGACGGGCGGCTAGGGGGCTGACGGGTGGCGAAGGGGCCGTGACGGGCGGTTGAGGGGCCGGCGACGGGCGGCTAAGGGGCCGTGACGGGCGGCTTAAGGGGGGCCGACGGGCGGCTAAGGGGCCGCGACAGGCGGCTAAGGGGCCGACGGGCGGCGAAGGGGCCGCGACGGGCGGCTAAGGGGCCGACGGGCAGCTAAGGGGCCGTGACGGACGGCGAAAGGGGGGGGCCGATGAGCGGCTAAGGGGCCGTGACGGGCGGCGAAAGGGGGGCCGACGGGCGGCTAAGGGGCCGCGACGGGCGGCTAAGGGGCCGACGGGCGGCTAAGGGGCCGACGGGCGGCGAAGGGGCCGTGACGGGCGGCTAAGGGGACGACGACGGGCGGCTAAGGGGCCGTGACGGACAGCGTAAGGGGCCGACGGGCGGCTAAGGGGCCGCAACGCGCGCTTCGGGCAGGGCAGGAGAAAAATTCGTGGTGGGCCCTAAAAATAACGTTCCCACTAGGGAACCTGCTCAGAATACCATGTTAGAATAAGGAACGGAATGAATGAACTAGGAAGCAGGTGGGTACAAGTAGGAAACCTAAAAGTGTTGTACCCTATAAGAACTACCCCACTATAGCCTAAACAGACTATAGCATATATAAGCTTGACAAGGACCTGTGGCAGTAGACGCACTAGCACCTAGAGCGTCGGCAGAGTCACGAGCACCTAGAGCTGCAGCAGACTCACCAGCACCTGGAGCGGCAGCAGACTTACTAGAACCAAGAACAGCAGCCTCTACACGACCAGGGACGCATCGCTGAGAAGCACAGTCGCTGAGGCCACATAAAACCAAAACCTCCACCACCAGGACTACCTCGTGTCAGAATGTTCTAGTGCTTACAATTGTGTAGGCTATAGTGGGGTAGCCCATAAGGGGTACAACCCAATTAGGGTTAGTACTTGTACCCAACTTCTGCTCAATGCATTCATTCTCGTTCGTTATTCTGACATGGTTTCAGAGCAGGTCCTCCGCTAGGACCGTTTTTTTTCCTTGGGCCCACCACTGCGCTGCCCCACTAGCCGCCCGTAGCGACCCTCGTGTCGCCCCTTGGCCCGTCGCCCCTAGGCCCGTCGCCCCTAGACCGGCCCGTCGCCCGTAGGCCCGTCGCTCGACCCCCGGCCCGTCACCCCTAGGCCCGTCGCCCCGGCCCGTCGCTCATCGCCCCCCCCCCCCCCCCCCCCCCCCCCCCCCCCCCTAGGCCCAGCCCGTAGCCCGTCGCCCCTGGCCCCGTAGCTCGTCGCCCCTCACCTAGGCCCCGGCCTGTCGCTCCTGACCCTGCGGCCCATCGCCCCTAGGCCCCGCGGCTCGTCGCCCGTAGCCCCTAGGCCCCGCGGCCCATCACCCCTAGACCCCTGGCCCGTCGCCCCTGGCCCCGCGGCCCGTCGCCCCTAGGCCCTCGACCCGTCGCTCCTGGCCCCGCGGCCAGTCTCCCCTAGGCCCCGCGGCCCGTCGCCCCTAGGCTCCCGGCCCGTCGCTCTCGGCCCGCCGGCCCGTCGCTCCTTGCCCCGTGGCCCGTCGCCCCTAGGCCCCCGGCCCGTCGCTCCTGGCCCTGCGGCCCGTCGCCCCTGGGCTCCCGGCCCGTCGCTCTCGGCCCCGCGGCCCATCGCTCCTAGGCCCCCGGCCCGTCGCCCCTAGGCCCCGCGGCCCATCGCCCCTAGGCTCCCGGCCCGTCGCTCTCGGCCCCCCCGGCCCGTCGCTCCTGGCCTCGTGGCCCGTCGCTCCTGGCCTCGTGGCCCGTCGCTCCTAGGCCCCCAGCCCGTCGCTCGTGGCCCCGCGGCCCGTCGCCCCTAAGCTCCCGGCCCGTCGCTCTCGGCCCCGCGGCCCGTCGTTCCTGGCCCCGCGGCCCGTCTCTCCTAGGCCCCCGGCCCGTCGCCCCTAGGCCCCACGGCCAGTCGCCCCTAGGCCCCCGGCCAGTCGCTCCCAACCCCGCGGCCCGTCGCTCCTGACCCCACGGCCCGTCGTCCCTAGCCCCTAGGCCCCCGGCCCGTCGCCCCTAGGCCCCGCGGCCCGTCGCCCCTAGGCCCCCGGCCCATCGCTCCCGGCCCCGCGGCCCGTCGCCCCTAGCCTCTGGCCCCGCGGCCTGTCGCCCCTAGGCCCCGACCCGTAGCCCCTAGGCCCCGGCCCGTCGCCCCTGGCCCCGACACGTCGCCCCGCGGCCGCCCCTAGGCCCTCGAGCCGCCCCTCCTGCAGCCTACTGCCTGCCCCCCTTTTCCCTGCGCTGCCCGGCCTCTGCCCGCCCTGCGTGCTGCGCCACTATGGCTTCTCTCCGAGTTCTAGCGTTCGATCATGAGGGCCGACCGATCCAATTTGACACGTGGCTCGACGACTTGCAGCTGTACCTACTGAGCGACTCTAGGGACAGCGTTTCGTTGTTTGACCACACGTCTGGCACCGATCCCGCCCCTCCCGCCACAGCTGATTGTGCGACTCGCTCACAGTGGCTTACTCGTGACGCTGCTGCTCGCTTAGCCATTCGAAACCACCTTCCGTTGGCCAAATGCGCTCACCTCGGACAGCACAGGACTGCACAGGCACTGTACGACGCTGTAGTCGCCCGTTACTCCTCGCCTGCCACTGCTGCTCTAGGCCGTCTTCTACTGCCCTACCTGTTTCCCGAGCTGTCAGCCTTTGCCACAGTAGAGGACCTAGTTTCCCACCTTCGCACTAGCGACGCTCGCTACCGTGCTGCCCTCCCAGCAGAGTTCCTTGCCAACAACCCGCCCCCGATGTACATCACTCTCTACTTTTTAGTCACCCGCCTCCCTGACTCTCTTCACGCTGTCAGGGACCACTTTCTCGCGCTCGACCCCACAGACCTCACTGCTGACCTACTCGAGCAGCACCTCCTTGCAACTGAGACTAGTGTAGTCAATGTAGGTGCTGCTCATGGCACTCCTCGCACGCCCTTCTTTGAGGGGTGTTCCCCCTCCCCCCTTGCCCCCTCCTATGCCTCTGCTGCTGCTATTGACGTCCTTGGTGCTGAGGATGTCGGAGCTGCTAGCGAGTTTCCGCCTGTGAAAAATGGGTGGAGATGGGGGACGCTCCATCGGGCATGGTGCGAATTTCCGCCTGTGAAAAATAGGTCAGTCTGATAACCGTGTGTAAATAGGACTGTCAGCAGTGGGCTGGTCTGGGCAAGTAGTATGGCATGGACTTGGGCTGTAGGCCGGGTTAATGCGTCGGCGATGTTCGATGCCCCCTTTTTGTAGGTGACCGTGTAGTGAAAATTCGACTCGAGGTAGTCAAGCCAGCGGATTTGTCGTGGGTTGAGATAGGGTTGTGCGCGGAGGTACTGTAGAGATTTGTGGTCTGTCCGTACTGTCACGTCGGCGCCGGTCAAGTAACAGCGCCACACTTTGAATGCATGCATGATCGCAAGCATTTCGCGATCGTGTATTGGGTAATTCTTCTCGGGCGGATGCAGCTTTCGTGATTCGTATGCGATGGGCTGTAAACCGTTGCCGAAATCCTGTAGAGTACGGCTCCAATGGCGATGTCGCTTGCGTTGGTAACCACTTCGAATGGGCGGTGTGGGTCGGCGATGCGCAGTACGGGCGGTGTACAGAGAACATTTTTCAGGGTAGAGAAGGCAGCATGCTCTTTCTCCCCCCACGTAAAAACGACCCCTTTCCGCAGTAAATCTGACAGCGGGGCAGTTAAGCGTGCCATGTCGGGGACGAACTCTGCAGCTCCGTGATGTTCGTAGGGGGATTCCACGCTTTCACCGTGTCCAGTTTCTTCGGGTCGATTTCGACTCCAGCTTCGGAAATAACGTGCCCCAAAAACTCTAGCCTATCCTGGAAAAACTCGCACTTGGAACCCTTGGTCAGTAGTCTGTGTTTGTCTAAAACTGTAAGTATTGCTGCTGCTTATCTCGACTGTAGACTAGGATGTCGTCGAGGTAGATGATCACACATTTATCTAAGAGTGGTCTAAACGCCTCGTTCATTGTCATTTGGAAAGTCGCCGGCGCGTTGGTCAGTCTGAAATGTGAGAATAATTGACGAAAGAATTAGAAAGGATGGGGTGGGACTAGCAAGCAGTTGGATACATATAACAAACCCTAACAGGGTTGTACTCACTACAGTGTACCCCACTGCAGACTAGAGAAACATAATGTTCTGACACACCCCCATAGTCAAAGTGGGGTATGATCAGCACAAGAAGCAAAGCAAAGCAAGCTCAGGGTGGATCACAATGTCACCACACATTCTGAGCACAAGTACAAGAAGTAACAGTTTAAAGTTCACAATAAATAAGCAAAGCTAGAGGCTATCACAGAGGGCAAGTGAGGAGGCTGGACTAATAGGAGAGGAGAGAGGAGGCAACAGCGGAAGCTGCAGACACACGGGCAACAGGAGCGGCGCGCACTGTGGCTACCGGAGGCGCACCTCCGGACTACAGGAGTAACTGGCTCCGCGGCTAAGACGAGCGGCAGGAGCAACGGACCCACGGGCGACTAGCGCAGCGGCATCACTGGGCTACCAGAAGCGCACCTCCGGACTACTGGCACTGCTAGCAACACGACGGCTACCTCCACCCAACCTCCCTCTACTGCCGCACCCCCCATTCACACACCCCCTGCTGCACCCCTAGGTTCACTCACACTCCACCCCCTAGCACCACTCCGTCAACTCACACACACCCACCCCCCTCAGCGGCAGCTGCAGCAGTGGGAGACGGAGTAGGAGGAGGAGCAGGGGATGCCACACACCCGCCACCCCCATACCCTCCCCCACTGCTGCACCTGCAGCAGGGGATGGAGGAGAAGGGGGGGGGGGGGGGGGGGGGTGCTGTGCATGGCGCGTGCAGAGGGCAGCAGGGCGCACGGGGCGCACAGGGCAGCAGGGCAGCAGGGCGCGCGGGGCGCACAGGGCTGCAGGGCGCGCGGGGCGCACAGGGCAGCAGGGCAGCAGGGCGCACGGGGCGCACAGGGCAGCAGGGCGCGCGGGGCGCAGCAGGGCTGGCGGGTTGGCCACACCCGCCACCCCCATACCCTCCCCCACTGCTGCACCCGCAGCAGAGAGATGGGGGGGGGGGGGGGGGGGTGGGGCGGGGGGGGGCAGGCAGGTGCTGCAGGTCCCCTCCCCCCACTGCCGCATCCGCACCAGGGGGATGGCAGATCCCCTCCCCCCCACTGCTGCACCCGCAGCAGGGGGAGGGAGAGGAGAAAAGGGCGGCGGCGCGGGGTCCAGGGGCGGCTGCTCCAGGGGCCAGGGGCGGCTGCTGAGGTCCAGGAGCGGCTGCACTAGGGGCGGCTGCTCCAGGGGCGGCTGCACCAGGGGCGGCTGCTCCAGGGGCGGCTGCACCAGGGGCGGCTGCTCCGACGCGTGCCCCCCCCCCCCCCAGGTTGCCCCTCCCGTCGCCTGTTGAGGCGATCTGAGGGGGGGGGGGGGGGGGGGGGGGGGGGGGGGGGGGGGGGGGGGGCGACGCGCGGCCTCCCAGGGCGCCAGAGCAGGCGGAAGAAGGGGCGACGCGCGCCCCCCCGGGTCGCCCCTCCCGTCGCCTTGCGTGGCGAGCGGGGGGGGGGGGGGGGGGGGGCGGTGCACGGGCCCCTGGTACGCCACGACCGGCATGAGGGCGGGGCCTGGGTCGGGGCAGGTCCGGGACGGGGCCGGGACGGGGCCGAGGAAGGGCCTGGGCGGGCCGCGAAGGGGCCTAACGGGCCGCGAAGGGGCCGCAAACAGGGCCTGACGGGGCCGCAAACGGGGCCTGACGGGGCCTTACGGGGCCTGACGGGGCCGCAAACGGGGCCTGACGGGGCCGCGAAGGGCCTCACTAGGGGCCGCAAAGGGGCCTTACGAGGGAGCCGCGAAAGGGGCCTTACGAGGGGGCCGCGAAGGGGCCTAACGAGGGGCCGCGAAGGGGGCCGTACGAGGGGCCGCGAAGGGGCCTTACGAGGGGCCTTACGAGGGGCCGCGAAGGGGCCTAACAAGGGGCCGCGAAGGGCCTTACGAGGGGCCGCGAAGGGCCTTACGAGGGGCCGCGAAGGGCCGTTAAGGGCAGGCGCGACGCGCGCCTAGGGTAGGAAAAAGAAATTCAGTGTGAACGTGGTGGGCCCTTGGAAGGATCGATATGCTCTATACCATGTGAGAATAATTGACTAAAGAATTAGAAAGGATGGGGTGGGACTAGCAAGCAGTTGGATACATATAACAAACCCTAACAGGGTTGTACTCACTACAGTGTACCCCACTGCAGACTAGAGAAACATAATGTTCTGACATGAAAGGCATTACTTTGTATTCGAACGACCCGTACCTAGTCCTAAATGCCGTCTTGGCACGGTCCGATGGGTCGACCCTGATTTGATGGTAACCTCCCCGTAAGTCGATTTTCGAAAATACCCGTGATGTTTGCAGTTGATCTATCAGTTCGTCGGCGCGGGGGATTGGGTATCGCGACTTGACCGTAACCCTGTTCAGTGCTCTGTAGACAATGCACATGCAAAATCCTCCGTCCTTTTTCGGTGTGAACAGGATCGGTGCGGCGGATGAATTTTTTCTCTAACAGGTAATCTAACTGCTTCCTTAACTCATCGAGCTCGGGTTGTGTCAGTCTGAACTGTCGCTGTACGGTTGGCTGTGCCCCGGGTTCTAGTTCTATTCGGTGGTCGTGAGCCCGCTGAGGTGGCAGTCCCTCCGTTAAATCGTCGGGAAAAATCCCCGGGAATCGTTGCAATAGTTCCTGTAGTTCGGGTGGTACTGCCGCCAGTAGCTTCTGAAAATCGCTCGGCTGTGCTGCTTCCTCCACTATTGCGATATCTACTGCGTACACGTCAGCTCCAGCGGCGACAGCCCATTTCATCGTGATGGCGTTGACGTGGACCGTCGAAGACTCACGCGACTGCCAGCGAGGTAGTTCAACCCAGTTACCGCTACTTCGCACAGTGCAGCTACCCGTCGTCCAGTCGATTCGCGGATTGTACCGTCGCAGCCAATCTCGTCCCAGTAATATGTCGTGCCCATCCAATGTCGTCGCGAGCATTTCCTGTGTAAACCCGAAGTTCCCCCCACAGCGGACTTTTATTCTCTCCACTTTCTCCCGTATGGCCAGCGACGTTCCGTCAACTAAACGTGCATCGATCTCTGGTAAACACCGACTAAGTGTCAGTCGCAACTTCCATGCAGTCGCGGTGTTAACTAAACTGTGGCTTGTGCCTCCGTCTATAAAGATCTTCACTGCTGCTCCCTGTACTTTCCCGTGAATCAGTACTAGGCAATCCGTCGCTGTACCCTCCTTATTCGTCCGAGCCCGATCGATAGCGTGAATTGGTACTGTGACTCGGTGAGGGTCGGTGAAGTTGGGCGAGCAGGCACTCTCGTCAGTAGTTGGCCCAACTCCCACTGACTGCTGGCGTTTCCCGGCCTCTGAGACTCTCGCCCCTGCTCTGTTCCACGGCGCCTTAGCTCCTCTGGACATTTGCTCTTGCGGTGGCCCGGCCTATTGCAAGCAAAGCAGCGCCCCTTAAACGGTGTGGCAGCTGCATTTGTTGCAACGGCGTGTACGGTGGCGTGCTCGATCGATCCTCGAGGACGATGTCCATAGTAGGACCCCAGTCTCGGTCGTCGTAGGATGTCGATTTTCTCGGCGAGCGCGAGGATCTCGTTGAAATTCGAGAGCCCGCGTAGCATAATTTCGTGCGAGATATCCGGCTTTAGCCCTCCGACGTAACGGTCCACCCGCTCCGCTTCGTGCATATAGCCAACTTGCTCACATAATGCGAGAAATCGGCTCGTGTAGTCTTGAACCGATCCGAGCTGCCACCAAGTACGCAGTTTCTGGCACGCTGAAATCGAAGCCGCGATCGGCTCGAAACACGCCCGAAGCCCTGCGCACCACGCATCCCACGTGTTGTATTGGGCTGTCTCGCAGAATGAACTCCAGGTGACGGCTGGGCCCGTGGGCCCGTCTTCTTGCGACGGTGGCTCGTAGGCGCGTGGCGACGTCACGATGACTCGCCACCAGTCCATGGCAGGGCCCCTCAGCAGCGAAATAGCGTAGCGAATCTTCGCTGCGTCCGACTCGACGTAGTTCGCGTCGAAGAAAACATTCATCGTGAAGACCCACGATTGAACCGCCGGACCTCCACTTTGGCTCGGGTCGAAACAGGGCGGGCGCTGAGGCTTGAGTGGCATTGGTGCCGTGACGGTGTATTCACCACCTGTCGTTGCGAATTCCACGTGCCGACGGGCTTCGCGGGGCTCCCGAGGGCTTGGTGCGGCCCTGTTTCTCTCCATGCCAGACATTGAGTGAGCGGCGCCCTCACTGGCCACACCTGAGCGCTGTCCCACGCTGTCGTTCTGTGTCGGTGTGCCTGACGAAATGATGATCGGCTCCTCAGAATGTGCAGGTGCATTTGTGGGTGCTGGGGCATTCACTGCCGATTGCTGTCGAGCGGAGTCGCGTTCCGCTGTGAGTGTGGCGATTTCGAGGGCCGAATCTTTGAGTTGGCGTATGAGACGGTTGAGTTGTTCTTGCGTCATTGTCGCGACATTAAGTTCTGCCATGGCGGGGGTGTCGGGCGAGCTCAGCGAGAGCCTCTGTCGTGGCCGTGCGTGCTTACGAGAGAGCACTACGAGCGGCGGTGCTTGGACGCTGAGGGACGTCTACCCCCCCCCAAGAAAATTGAGATAGTGGGAAGCGAAGGTGTGGGTGCGGTCCGAGAGAAGCTCGTAGGCTCTTATAACCAAGTGTTACGAGTGCAATTGAGTGATCGAGCGAAGATTGCACTATCGAGACAAAGAAAATACAATGAGCGAAGAATTGAGCAAATAATATATAGCGAAACTACGGTGGTATCGGTAACGTGGGAAATTGGGGTGCGCGACGGGCCTGGTGCCGAGGTTTGGGACTGTCGTGGCGGAGGTCCGGAGCGCGGGTTACCAACCGAACCGTGAGGTTGGGTCGCCTCGTGAACAGTGGCGGGAATGGTGTCGAGGCGAATGTCGCGAGTGGTAACGGAATGTTGTGGGGTGCTGTCAGTGGTGTACGCGCTGAGCAGGGACGCGAAGTAAGGAAAATGAATTTTCCTTACAGTGAGTCAGTGTAACCCCAAATTTTTAGGCTGAAAATTCAGACAACACAAAGTTTCTAGGCTGAACTTTCAGCGTGAGCTGTAAATCTTAGGCACATCCAAACAATCATCGAAGTGAACGGGGAGCAGTCAAAAATCTCTTTCGATTTTGATTGGGTGCAGACAGATGTGCGAATTTGGCAGAGTTGCGCGACGTGAAATGCTTCTTAGTGCTAGTTCACAAATTCCAGGTTGATCAACAGCACGCAAAATCCATTACACACACACATGTATGAGCTGAGACTCGACGAACGTGAACCTTGTGCATAGTGGTAGTGCAGCTGTTAGGAATGTGATGCCTTGGACTAGTAGGGCCTGTGACAGGAGCAATCACAAGGAGTTGATAGAAAAGGACGAGAGGAGGAAGTTATCATGGGACAAGGTCATGCGCACTGAGAGAAAGAGAGTGAGGGGAGAGAGAGAAGGGCGACGGCCGAGATTCTAGTAGGTTGACAGTGACGTGAAATGTAACGCCTGTGGGCTGTGTTAAGGGCACTCCGCTGCGCCAAATAACACCCTCGTTTTGACCCAGTGGGTAGCGACATCGCGGAAAAGACAAGTGCCGAAAGTGACGTAATTGTGACTTTCCCGCCACTATTACGTATACGGAATGCTGGGATAAAAATGTGATGGTTGGAAGTACCAGGTTTTCCGTCACATACAAAGTGACCAAAAGGTCATGAAAATGTCACGTTGACATCACACTAACGTCACTTTCAACGTGACGGAAATGTTACGGCTATGTCACGTGCACGTCACGCGTTCGTAACCCCGCTGGATGCCAATGTGCAATCCGACAAATGTCACAATTTGTCTGCTTTTAACGTCGAACCGACATCTGGCTAGCATTAGGTCAGCGTGTCGACCATCAAGTTTCAACAGTCTACTGTACTGTGCGCTCCGGATCATCGCACCCCCCAATCACCTGCCTGCACGTGAACGACGAGGATCAACACAACATTGTATCCGCGCCCTTCATTTTTAGAGTTCGTACCCAATGCCGATGCACCATTTGTGACACACGCTTGCGCCTTATTCGTTGAAATTCCAGTCTGCTTCTGGCTGACCCCTTACGTGTACGCGCCAGATGACGTTGAAATGTGACCACGTGTACGGCTTTAATTTTACATTTGACCCTTGTTCTACCCATGCATATCGATATCACACCGTCCACGCCTGGGTGCATCGACGATACTGCACCACCCACGCTCCCATCACACGTTGAATTATGCAACGTGTTCACCCGGGATGCCGTTGACAGTCACCGACCTGTACGGCCTAAATCATGTGACGCACGGATTTGTCCTCTCCCTGGCATGCATCCTACCGTCCACAATTCCACACATCGACGACACTCGTCGCACCGCGGTTCCTCCATCTACGGCTGTAAACGTTCGTCACGCCCAGATGAATATATCATCTCACTGCATCCAACGGCGCTAGGTCGAGCCGCCTATTAACATCGGAGGAATCCTTTTGGCCATTACGAATCCCTAGCGG